CATCTTGCCCCTGACACCATCTTGCTCTTGCCACCATCTTGCCTCTCTGACCATCTTGCTCCTGCCACCATCTTGCCTCTCCGACCATCTTGCCCCTGACACCATCTTGCCCCTCCCATATCTTGCCCCTTTAACCACCTGCTTTTGTATTATAATACCTTTCACTTTCAATGCAATGTATTTTCTGTACATGTCCCACATCCAATTTTCACACCTTACCGCTATCTTTCAATTCCTCACTTGTTCAAACCGTCTATCCCATCTGCCTCCATTTACACCCATTTGTACCCCTTCCAACCCCGGTGCAATCCACCCACCCCATCTAATCCAACCCTATTCTCACCCACCATTACCCCCAATTATGTCCACATCGTACACCCACTTGTAATGTCATCCCTTCAACCTGCCCCATCCCCACCCCCACCCATTTGTCTTTCATTTCCATTCCTCAATACAGGATGCATCTCATCATGAGCATCTGCACTTTGCATGTTGTTCACCCATCTTGTTCCTCAAGCGCAAGGTAGGCTGTCTCTCTCTTTTTATTTTATTCTGTATACAGCCGTGGGCAGCTTATCTCGTTTTACGTTTCAGACAGAGGCACCCAAGGATTCCCCAGAAGTGCCTTGAGCACTGCAGCCTGCCGGTCTGGAGAAATGTGTGGAGAGGACATGCACATGGGAGGGAAAATCAGACAAAGAAATATGTGCTTTGGTGAAACCCAGTGATGATAATTATTGTGTTTTCAACCAATATTTAGCCCACTCTGATTTCTTTCATTTCCTGCCCAGCCAAAAATAGTTGGGGAGGTGTTTTCCTGTGTTCTAGGAAAGAAAAACGCGTAGTATTCATTAGCAAGTCATGGACAAAATGTGTAGATACAGACATGTATATGCATTGCTGTCTGAGAATGTTGGGTTTATTTCCTTTATACAAACAATGTTGAATTACAAAATAATCAGCTTCATCAAAGCTGATACTAGTTTGCACATGGTTTACTAGTAATGTTTGTGAAAGTTCCAGGCCACAGACAGGTGCCAGTTGATTTGGATTGCTTTGTGCTGAAATTTTTAGTCATATTGTGCAGCTGAGCCTTATCCTTTAAAATAGGAAGGTTCGGGATTATTTGTTATCTTAATAATGTGATTTGTCATAAAGCTGTGCACAGGAATTTGTTCTCAAGTACAATGCCACACCAACTTGGAGAACTACCTCTGATATTGTCAAAAGCTGATTTATTTGGTATGTTTTAGTCCCTCAAGCATGCCACTGATTAAGCACATATCAGACTTGCATGTTGTCTATCTCAGGTTTTCTGGGATCGCAAAGATCCCTCGTGCAAAGATGAACCAGGTGTGCTCAGCCATTCTGAATGAGTAGCGCTTAGTTTTGTGAAGGTTTCGAAGGAGGTCAGGGGAGATTTAGGGCACAATCCAGGGTCCTGTGTCTGAAGAAATAGTCTGTGGAGACAATAATACACATAGACAGGTTGCAGTACGGGTCGCAATCTCATTTTGTGGACAGCGCTGGCAGTGGCTGAACACTACCAACAGATGACAAGGCCTGAGTGAAAAAATCCAGCTACATGCAGTCTACTGCACATACACACTGCACTACTGTATCGCCTGACCTAGTTAAGGGGGGTTCTGTATTGCCTGTGGTAAAAAAATGCTAAGTATTGGAGTCTAAGGCATACCGATCCCCATGTAGTCTCAGTACACGAGAGTGCGTGCGTTTGTACATGTATGTGTGCCTGCCTGAGATGTGTGGACATGTAGGCATCATCAGCGATGCACTGCATATCTCTCATCGGAAGCAGCCATTGTTGACCCGTCCCGTTCCCATAATGAGATCCCGGTGCTTTAAAGCGATGACTCTGGAACCTTGGCGCGTCAATACCGCTGATCACCATGTGCACACCAAAGTTGGGAGGCTGTTGTTTTCTTTTCTCGTTTTTTTTTGTCTCTCTTTTTTTTTCTTGACTCAATGTCTCATTGGAATGATCATGACAAAAGATTATTCGGTATTGCAACCTGAATATGAATAAAGCTTCATTTGTTTTGATTGTCATTGACAGGGAGCGGGGTTAAATAGGCCAGGAATATTTGAGTTTCCTAGTTAACTGATGTGATAGGTCAATGTAATTTTCATGTATGGTTCTGTCATAAGCTGAGTTAGTAAGCACAGGTTACCATACATGAGAGGTGACTTTCAAAACCACACCATGTTAATTGAATAAGGAGTAAATTGAAACAAAAGGTTTCATGCACTTCTTGCCCTAGCTCCACCACATGCCACCGTATTTGCTGTCTTTATCCCTATATAAGTCCAATTTGAGGCCAATCTGTGGAATAAGCAAAGCACAGAAAATTTTCGCCAAGCCAAAAAGGTCACCAGCTAAAATGTTGTGGTCCACATACTGCTCGTAACTGGTGATCTGCCAATTTTTGCATAACGGGTAAATATGGTCGGCAACAGTTTCTGCTCAACAGCTCCAGAGAATGGATCTTAATTGTGTGCTTTCCAGTATCCCTTATGCGCATAGAATGGCATATATAATGAACTCCTGTAAGAACAGTCTGACTCAATCCTGTGGAACACCTTGGGCATGCGCTGATTCACATGACAACTGTATGAAGAAGGCATGACAGGTTTTCATCAGAGTGTGCACAAAAAGCCTGTAGCATCTCTGTGTGGGACGTATTCAGGTGTCTGTCACATGCATCTTTCTCTCTGTTACCGTTCAGGAGGCTCTTGCACATGCAATCCATAGAGGGTTTTTAATATGTATTCACTGTTTCTTTTATGTTTCCCCGAATTCACTTGCCTGCCGTGACCGATCTGTGTCAAAAAGATAATTAGATTCTGGATTGCCTCATTGTTGAGAATATTTGTTTGTCTACAATGGAATTGGAAGGATATGTCGAGAGCTTCAGTGGCAAGCCTTTGTTGTCAGAGCTCAAAGACGGATCTGAGATGTTAAGAAAGCATGACTGCATCAGGCTGCCAAGAGCATGCCTCCACGTAGTGTGGTTTTGTAATAACAATGCAGATTATTCACTGTGTTTTGATATTGCCAGGAGAAGGGCAGAGTTTAACTAGAAATGTGTATATTATCAAAAAGGTAAAAGTATGAAATCTGCTGCAAACTACTTGTTAGTTACAGGTACACGGATTTAAAATATTCAAATCAAAATGGAGGGCCTGATTTTTCAGTCTTAGCAGAATCATTCTAAAAAGCCAACACATAACAGAAAGCAAATGTCGATAAAGGAAAATACAAAATTTGCAGTAGCCCCTTCCTCCATCATGTGATATAAATGAGAAGAAAATGTTTAACGCGCAGATTCATCAATTTAAACAAGTAAATAAGAGAGAATTCATCAATTTAATAAGTAACTTGTCGTGAATAAGTGAATGCCCTATTCACGTGCCTGTGAATCACCTACTTTAATCTTCAAATATTGAGGGATTTGATTCAGCGATTATTTCCTGACTATCCTTGAAATTTCAATAATTTGATTTATTTCATTACAGCCATTGGGGTGATGAAAATGGGAAATAATAGTGACTTTTTGTCCCCCAGGTGTCACTGTGAGCCAGGTTAACATTTAAGGCCCTCATCGTGTTCAGCTTCAAATCCCATTCAGGCCTTAATAATTGAAATGAGTGTGCGTGAACATCTTAAGCACACACTGAATGACACAGGAAGAGCTTTGTCGCGTATTCTTCACGGCCAGTGGATGCCTGGCCAGAAATGTTCAGGAATTGATAAGGAAATTGCTGTCACATCTGTGTCAAATCCACATCTTCACTGAAGCTTTTTTGGCAGTTACTGCCAACATTGTTTCCTCTTACCTTTAAAAAAGATGCTTTTAGGAAATAATACTTTGTCATAATTATGCAACATTTTCAACTCATCTGCACTGGATCAAATAGCCCATGTTTATTTTGAAAATCGAGCCCAACATTCATCATTAGCAAAGGCTCTCAAGCCATTCCAACATTTCACTTGAGGACTGAACCTGGTAAAAGGTGTCATTTGAGACATGAAGTGTTCAAGAGTGAGAAATGTGTCTGGTCTGGAGATGTTTACAGTGTAATATGCACCAAGTCTGAATCATGCAGTGTTGTGTGGTGCTGCATGAAGACTTACCTCCGTTGGTTATCGGCTGATTTTGTGAGAGTCACCACTGCTGCATGTTCGGTGCTTTTCAAATGCACAAGAACCATATAACTTCACATGCTTGAGTAGGTGGGATTCGAACCCCCTTCCCCTGAGCTGCTTAAGCATTTGAAACACTCAAAACTACATGTATAGTACCTGCTTCTGCTGTCCTGGTTGATCCCGTTAAGCCAATTCTCGAATTACATTGTCATAATGTGTTCCTTGACATTCCCCCGCTTTTAATTTATGAACTTCTGCTGTGTTTTTCTACTTGCTCCATGTTCTCTTGAGGACAGCCTAAACGGCCACTGGTCAGTCGGTTCCAACACAGCATTGACTTCCACAACAAACTTATGCATTAGGATGATGGAAATTTTACAAATAGTATGAGCAACATTGTGACCACAAGGGGTAAACCTTTGTATTAAAATGGACAATATGTCAGTGCAGCAGACAGTGTGATCATCTGTCACTGACCAACTTGCCGAGCTTCATTTATGCCCTCTCATGTTACGCTCAATTTGTATTCACTTCGAGAATGGTCTTTTCCCTGATCTTGCTAGTTGTTCTGCTTTCGCAGTCTCAAATATATGCCTACTGGCTTCAATTCACTCTGTTCTCAAGGCAACCTAGCAGTTAATGCACTCTCCTTACTTCACCGCTTTAAAAGGAAAAGAACGATCTCTTGTGCTGCATTTTTTTTCTTTTTGGGTCCTATTTTCCTGCCCGCGTTAACATGAGTAAATAGAATTCAATCTTCAATCTTCCCTTAGTACGTGGGTGGCTCATTCACACGCACGGCTCTTATTATAATGTGACTTGAATCATGAGGAAACCAAACCCCATTTTTTTCTTGGAGTAGTGGTTCCCCCCCCTTTCCACATCATTCCTGTATTACCTGTATTGATTTCCATGTAGTGGTGGAGACATGCATCCAGCCAGTGAGGGAAAACCCAGTGCCAACGCATGCGGAAGCACATGCGGGAAACTTGGGCCAGCATTGGTTTTTTTGCCCCCTCATCTTAATGGCATTATTTGTTTTATTGGATTCCCTGGCAAGAAACGGATGGGATTCTGTTGGGAATTAATGAGATTCCAGGCCGATTAATTTTAAAGCCTATAGGGTGGAAAAATATTCATAAGGGAGTCGTGTGTGTGTGTGTGGGGGGGGGGGACTGGGACACCTCGTGTGCCCATGCGCACAAGAATGCAATGATCAGTGGGTGACTAGTAGGGCCATGTGTGCAGGGGTACCGGGTAGGTTGGGACGGGGTGTGTGGTTTGCCAGTGTTGTAGGGTCCAGTCCACTAATTCAAGCCCCATTGAAAACAGTGTAAAAT